CTAGTTTTAAATGCAAAAAAAAATGTACTCCTGGAACTGGAGGGATGGTTTTTGTTGCAGATGGGCTGGTTAGTTCTTGGATGTGAATTGCTTAATAGCTAATGATATCCTAAAGTTAGATGTAAGAATGGCTGCAGTAGGGAGAGGCCTTCTTAAGGTTGCATGGGTGAGTTATTGCTGACTTCAAAAATTCAAATTGCAGAAATAGAAGTCTAAGATACTAGTCTAGAGCCAATATTAGGTAGAACATTATCAGTAGTAAATTGTGGCTTAGCTGAACATAGAAAACTTTGACTATTGGATGGTATAGAAATACAGTGGTACCTTGGCTCACAAATGCCTTGGTTCACGACCAAATTGGGTCACGAACAAAAATTCCATGAAAATTTTGACGTGGGTCACAAACTCTGCATTGGGTGGCGAGCAAGATCACAGCCATTTCCCCACACCCCCGAGTGGGGAGATGGCCACGATCGCAGTTTGCGTTTGTGCAGGGAAGACGTGCGTGATCACGGGCGCGCTCCTGCAGGAAAGACGGCGCAATCTCGGCCATTCCCCCCCCCCCCAACCAGCACGATCACAGCCATCTCCCCACCCCGAGTGGAGAGATGACCAAGATCGTGCCCGTCTCTCCCTCCCCCAGCGTGTCCCGTTCACGCCCATCTCTCTGTCCCCTAGCACACTGTTTGCATCCATCTCTCCCTCCCCCAGTGTGCCCGTGATTGTGCCCATCTCTCCTTCCCCACCTCCCAGTGCACCGGGATGACAGGTGCATGCAGGGATTTTATTTATTTATTTATTTAAAACATTTCTATGCCGCCCCATCACAATAAAGCCTCAGGGCAGCTCACAAAACATCAATAAATAACAATACAATAAAACCCCAGTGCAATAAAACCCCAATAAAACCTAAGTGCATTTTCGGCTAAAAAAAAAAAAAAATGACAGGCGCGATCTCGATCATGCTGGGGGCGGGCAGGGAGATGGCCATGTTTGTGCTCGGGGAGGGGGGGAGATGGATGTGATGTTTGTTGTTCTTTGTCACTTTGCTTCACATTTTTCTGATTTAAAAAATGGTTACAGAACGGATTAACCTTATGGGGAAATTTAACTTGGCTCACAACCAGTTTGGGTCACAACCAGAGTCCTGGAACGGATTAAGTTTGTGAGCCAAGGTACCACTGTACAACAAATAAAAGAAGGAGCAAGAGAGAGAGAATCCCCAAAAGAATGTGAAGCCAACTAAACATGATTGCACAAACTCTACCAATGATGCCAGCTAGATAGGTCACTTTTAGCATATTAGTGAGGGATGGTTTTTTGGTTTTGGCTTTTTTGTTTTGTTTTGGTTGAGAGGAAAAGAATTCTACTGCTAATAAGAAATATACTAGCTACATTTCTGTTATTTTTCTAAGTACTCTAATGTTTTTGTATGTAATAATAACTTGGTTTTATCATTGCAAAGTTTTCTTATTCTTTAATATGGCTTGAGGAATAAATATATGCTTCGCATTGTCTGGTCTGAGGTGTACTTCAGGAGGCACACCTGTGAATAAATTCATGAAGCCCAGAACACTCAACTGGGATTTATAAATCTGTTTCTCTGGAGTTTGTACAAATAGCCACAATTTTCTCTCATGGTTTGGTGAGTCACAAAAACATCTGTTCAGGTAAGGAAAATAAGCTAATTAGAGCAGAAACGCTTTACTTGTCTGAAATTTTGGTAGTTTATAGGCCATAGTTATGGAAGCTTGCCTCTTATTCCCTGGTATGGTTAAAATCAGCCAGAAACATGTGGCTTCACATAGATAAGTAACCACATAAAAAGATGCTATTCTTCCATGCTTCAGATACGTATCCTCTGAAGCAAGCTGTTCTACACTGTTAAGGAGTTTGGGAGCCCAGATATAATGCTTTCATGCTCTGCTTGTGAGCTCCCCAAAAGGGTCACAAATCTGTTTATTATGGCAAGAGGATATTTCATTTGATGGCACTTCCATGATCTAGCCAGACTCTATGTTCTTTTCAAAATGTATGGGTTTTGTATTTTTCATCATGGAAAGTCACCATTTCACTAAATAAATTGCCTATAGGGTTTAGAAGTGATTGTGATGCTGCTGAATTTCATAAGTAGCCAACTACTTGGTCAAAAGTTATTCTTTCATAAAGCTTGCCTTTGTAGCAAGCCTGGATCAATCAAATCAAGTTCAGAAAGGATTATGAGCTTGGAAACACATACAGCAAAGTAGCATACAGATACTTTGTGCAAATTTGCAGTCATCCTGCCATCTAGTCACCCACCCCCACCGCAAACAGTCTTATTATCTGCTTCCTTCATGGTTGCTGCAGTTGCAGTACTGCTTTCAGGAGGAGGAGGAGGAGGAGTTGTTCTTGTTGTTTGCAGGTCCATTTCATGCCAGTGATTGGAAGTGACATGCAAACACCACTAGAATGTTATACAGGTAGGGCATGTGTAAACAAGCAAAAGTCATATGGTGATGCATGATGACATGTGGCACTATATGATCCAAGCAACGGCTCCCAAGATGCACCTTAATATTATTCTTTTTTTATTATTTCTATCCCACCCCAGAGCTGAAGAAATCTGGGTAGTTTACACAGCCTGTAAAAAACAGATGATAAAAACAAAATAAAAATTGTATAAAATTAAAAAAAAGTTAAAATCAGCTAAAAAAAGATAAAACAGGCAATAACAAGAAATAACAAAAGAGTGACTCTCTGAAACATCTGATGATTCACCCTCAAGCCCCTGGATGGCCAAGTAAGTCTTTAAAAACCTCAGAAAAGAAGACCAACTTAACCTGGCACCAAAAAGATGACAGATTTGGTGCCAGGAGAAAAAGCTGTCTGGTTCGGCCCCAGAAGTTTATTGTAGTGTCTGGCTAGATCGTGGTTGGGAGAGATGCTCTGACAGGTAATTTGGTCCTAATCCATGTAAGGCTTTATAGGTTAAAACCAGTACCTTGAATTGGGACTGGAAGCACACAAGCAGAAAATGCAAGTGGGTCAGAATCAGTTTTATGTAAGCTAGTTATTAATCTGACTGCTGCATTCTGCACAGTTTTCAAGGGCAGCCCCAGGTACCACCTTCTGGAGATGAACCATTGCAATGCAGTGCCCTCCACTCCCAACTCAGATGGTTGCCCCAGAAGGATACCATGGTCAATGCATATCGCAGTTGTGCAAAAAAAAAAAAAAAAATGCATATACAGAATGAGAGTTTGCATTAAAGGAGAACTCTTGTGGAAGTACACAAATATGAAATTATAAGTAAATAATTGGATTTACTTGTGTGATGTTCACCCAACGTCAGTCTAAATTAGCAAGACATAAAGAGGAAGATCAGGGTTGAAGTTACCAAACATTAATGGAACTTATTTGTTTTTCGGCGCCAGGCAAAGACCTTTTTATTTAAGCGTCATTTTAATTGTTAATATTATTTGCTTATTTTATCTGGCCAGGGCGACTTATTTTATATTGTTATTTCTTGTATTTTAATTTTATGTTGTGAGCCGCCCCGAGACTTTGGCGAATGGGGCGGCATAGAAATGTTCTAATAAATAAATAAATAAATGCAGGCAAAACAGGGCAAATTTATTTTGTGGGCAGCATGACACATAACTTTTACCTTGTATCATTTCTTCATTCCAAGAGGCACCAGTCCAAGATAAATAAAATATGCACTACACACACAGTGATCATTTAATCTAAATGGAATAGTTACATTTGCTCAATTCAGAGTGTAGCAATTTCCTCAGATATTATTTTTCCAAAGAAAAACAAGAAAAATAAATCTCATTCCGTGGATCCTGTGATATCTGACTGTCTACAGTCTGTTTATGAATATTTTTAGATGGCGATCTAAAGCTTATGAGTAAAACTGAAGTGCAATCACATGCACTGGGAAATAATTTGTGTGAAATAGTATATATCTATCGAAAAGAACAATAGCTATTCAAATGCAGCAATCAGTTTTAATATTATTAAGGCCACAGTCCTATGCGTGTTTGGGCAGGAAAAAGTCCTACAATTCCCAGCATTTCTCACCCAGCCTGCAACTCTCCTGATGCCCAAGTCAGCAAGATGTGTAAGCTGTAGCCCATTTTCCTATACACCATGCAGAGGATTACAGCCTCAGTGATTAGTGGTTATAGTTAATATCAATATGTGACATATAAAATGACCTTTGGAGACCTTGTGAAAGTTAGCAAAATATTTTCCCAAGCAAGACAATCAGAAAGAAATAAACCACCAAACTCCTCCACCTTACTAATAATAGCTGGATCATAGGTTCCAACAGAATCCATATTAAGCAGTAAAACCATCAAAGGATGTAGCCAGATATCTGTAGGAAAATCTGTCTCTGGTAACCCTTTTGTTAACACTGTCTCAGATGGAGCATGATTATTTGCTTTCTCAAAACCCAGCTGAAAAGTATTGGAGGAATCTTGCAGCACATGGAAATTGCACAGACTCACATGGTATGGAGACAATGGCGAAGTCCATGCCACGTAGCTTCTGCCAGAGTTAGTGAAGGCAGAATTTCATTTAATTTTATATATTCCATTAGCTGAAAGACTCTGGGAGGTTTACAAGGATTAAAACTTTAAAAATATTTTCTAAAAACAATATACATAAAAACATATAGGCAGAACACAGAAAGATACACACATCATGACAAACAATTTTAATTGCTTAAATGTAGAATGTAGGAGGGCTTTTACTGTTGAATATGGGAATGGGAATATTGCCAAAAAATCTCTTCACAAAAGGAAAATGATTTGTTTACATGGGCTAGACATACTTGCTAATGAACAGCCAAACAAAAAGCTACAATATGTGTTATAAAAAGCAGACTCCTTGTTTTACTAGCAGGAAAAGTAGAGGATGATGAATTTAACAACAAAGTCTTCCAAAAGCAGCAATTCCAAATACTACAAAGACTTGTTTTTGTGACATTTGAATCAATCCACCATATGTTATTCATCCAACTGAAGTTTTTTTGGTAACAATTTCTGCAACAAGAAAAAGAGAATGTGGAAGATAACTAATTGTCAGAATGCTCTCTGTTCTTTGTTTAAAAATAAAATAATTCCCACGATTAAAAATAAACTCGTGTTTTTCTTCACACAAAGCTAGATTCCTCTGACATCTATAGAGTAAGGAAGAGGGTGAACTGTAAGGAGTAAAATAAAAAGGACTTCATGACTCCCTCACTCCATGCTATTGGTTGATTGTTTCTGAAGGAAGAAGGGGATAGGGGAAGGAATTGAGAATTACAGTTGAAAAGGGAGGGATGTAGGGGACTCAGAGAAACAAAAGACTGCTTGTTTGACAAGTGTCCTAGCCTATAACTGCTGCCACCCAGCATCAACTGGGTGGATTTGGGCTCAGGGATAGCATATCAAATGTGAGCCCAACTTGTCCTTGTCTCCCAGGGTTACTTTGGGTGGCCTCTTCTTGTCCCTGAAGCAACTGTCCAGTGGGGAATTAAGATATTCCACAATGCAAGAGTCCATATCCAGCCACTGGCTGCAGCTATTTTAGGAAGGGTAGCAGGATCAAAGTTTTTTCCTGCAAAGATAGAAGGTCTCTACTATAATGAACATAATCAGTGACTAAACGTACTACCAATGAGTTGTTGCTCTTAATGTTGCAGACCCCAGGCAAGTTCATACATGATAAGCCATGGTGGTTGCTTGTTCAGGAAAGTTTGTGTGTTGACCAAATCCTGTTGTATTTCAGCACAGTACATTTAGTTTTTAGAAACCATGGTCTATTTTATGATCCCTGTGCTTCACCATGGTTTTTCTGATTGTCCTAACACAGCATTGAAATTACCAAAGAGTCCTCTGGAAAGGACAGCAGCTGCAACAGGGGCCGCTCCAGCCATCCACTGTGGGACTGAATTTCAGGAGTAGTGGCTGATGGGATACATGCCGACAGTGGAAGGACTGTGCAAGGAGGGTGGAAATTATGCCAGCATGGAAACCATTTAATCATCTGCCAAGCACATTCAAGTAAAAAGGTGTACCATGGGAATCACACAGGATTGCTTGTTGTGACTTTGAAACCAGCCACAGTATGTGAAACAGTTACCAAGCAGAAGCTGCTTCAGCTGGTTTCCATACATCAGTGGTTATGCAGCATCACAGTGGAAGAACAAGACTGGATATATTGCAGCTACTGCATAATCTTCCAGGGACTGGCGGAATCTTCAGATTGTAATTCAGCAACTTTATTTTTTATATCTTAAACTCTAGGTGTTTTGTTGTTTAGCTGTGACCCAAGATGTCTACAAACCCTGGCTTCTGCTACCCTCTTTTCATGGATGTGACCTTTGGATTTCCTCACTCTTACCCTGCTTGATGTCTGCCCTTTCTTTTGATTGCTCCCTTATAATCCTGCTCCCTTTTGACCTTAGAGATAATACCTTTGTATTATCTGGCTCTTACTTTAGCAAAGGGTTATGGGGAGGGGCTTACCTGCTCCTTGTCCACATTGTATTTCTTCTGGAGCTGCACTTGGTATGAAAGTCATGGGAGCTAAAGGAAGGGGCTTGGGCACAATGAGAACTAGAGATCACTGTCTGAAGGGCAAAGGAGTTCCACCTGTCTGGTAGCATATTGTTTATTCAGAAGTATTGAATGAACAGAATAAAAGAATCTAACTAAAACATGATAAATGTTAAGTTAAAAGGGCATACCATCTGCAGAAATTCAATTTCCGTTTGAAGAGCCTCACAGGCATTTTCCATTTCAACTTCTCTGTAGCTCTCCAGTTCCTTTTTAAGCCTGTGCCAACATTTCAAAACAAAACACCTGATATGGTGAGGTTGTTGGCTGTACCAGTTCTTAATTCAACCTTGATCATTTTAGCAGAATCCCATTAGAGCCCTGTAAATTCCCCAGGAATGTGTAGATTACATGTCAATTTTGAGATGTAAATCAGAACTCAAATTTGCTAGGTTTCTTGCTGTAATATAAACTATAGGACCCAGTGCTGTATAAATCACTGTGTAATGCTACCAATTGTTTACTGAAAAAACTGTGACGAAATTAGACAGTCTTCAGAGCTAATATATAACTGTACACTAAGTGCTGTGAGACAGGTTTGAGTTATAAGGCTATAATTTTTCTCTGAGGGTTGGGCCTGTGTGATACACTATTACCCTATTCATTCAAAAAGAATTGTTAACATATAAATTTGAATATTTGATCCATGTCCTTTTCAGGTTGTGAATCTTGTTCCCAGAGTTGCTCACTGCTTGCTTATTTCTCCAAGGGTTTCTGTCCTTTCTTTCTCATTGCCAGCAGAACAAAGCATGCACTATGATTTTGCGGAACACATTTGAAGAGATGAATGAATGGACAGTTTATATTTCCCCTCCATTTGTTTTAATTAAGTTTGGGATGTGCAGCCGTTACAGTAATTGGTCCCAACTATTAAACTTCTATAAACAGAAATGACCTACACTGTTTGGTGCCCACAGTTATACATACATGTCTTTATATATTTGCTCTCTGTAGCATCTAAATCAAGAACATGACTTCTCATACACTGCTATACTTTTGTGTTCTTTTACAGAACCACATGACAAAGCACAATGTAACAATATGGATTTCCTTATGGTTTGAAGAAAATTTGTATCAACCTTTTGAAAAGCCCATCCCTCAAGTACCTTAGCATTGAAATAAAAGCAGCAGTTATGTCCTAGTGTTTTCACAATGCCAGTGAAAGAAAGAAGCATGTGGCATTACTCAAATTCTCACTCAGGCGGAATTTGAAGAGCTGGGCCGTATCTGTCATGCCTAGAGATGGACCATGCTATTTCAATATGGATTGATGGATGAACATTCTAAAAGAAAGCTAGCATGGTATAGTATGGGACAGGAATGCAGGTGGTCTGGGCTGAAGTCCTCACTCAGCCATGGAGCTCACTGGGTGACTTTGGGTCAGTCACACACTTTTAACCCAGCTATGGCACAGGGTTGATGTTTGGACAAGATTTTATTTTATTTATTTATTTATTTAATTTTCAATTTATATCCTGCCTTTTTCCTACAAAGGGCTCAAGGCAGCTTACATCTCCTCCTCCATCTTATCCCCACAACAACAACCCTGTGAGGTAGGTTGGGGTGAGAGTCTGTGGCTGGCCCAAAGTCACCCAGTTGGCTCCATGGCTGAGTGGGGACTCGAACCCAGATCGTCTGAGTCCCAGTCCCATGTTCTTAACCACTACACCACACTGGCTCTGAGGAGGGGATTGTTGTAAACTACCTTGAGTTCCTTGAAAGGAAAAAAAAAAGTTGGAATAATAATATAATAAAGAAAAAGTAAGAAAACACACCCAGAAATATTAGCATAAAAATAAAGCTTGCATTTCAATAGTTTGCAAAATGTTTACTTCTATGCATTTCCCAATGCATTACGGAGAAAACAGAGACATATCTAGGATGTTCTAGGACACATGGCACAGAGCACCCCAGTGTTCTTCTGAAGCAGCTGCATATTGCAATGAACATTGCAAATGGCAGGGTGGTGGTCATTCAGGGAAAAATGCCTGCCATTACTGATCTTTCTTGAGGAATCCTTTATCAGTTCATGGTTCCTTGGAACATACTTTGAGAATCATTGTTCTCAAAAATATAATCCACAAAATGTAGGAAATAATGTCCTTTCATTCCTGCCTTCACTACTTCCTTATATACAATTTAGTGAAGGCTTACTATGGAAGAGGGAAACTGCAGTTACAGAAAAGAGCAAACCCCACTGTTTAACCTATACACTCTTTCAGGGCTCAGAACTACAATACCTGACAGAGGGCCTTTCCTTATATGAATCTACCCATATATTACAGTCGTCATCTGAGACTTTTTTCCAAGGTCCTTCTCTGAGGGAGGTTGGAGTATGGCCACAAAGGAGAGGTTCTTTTTGGTTGTGGCCCCCTGACTGTTAAATGCTGTCCCCACTGAAATCTGCCTGTTCCTACACTGTCATCTTTTCAGTACTTTCTTAATGATTTCCTATACTTCTGCACACCTGATGGAATAGGATCTTCTAATCTCTGTGGTCCAGCATATCAAATCTCAATATTTTTGTAACTAGTTTTAGCTTTTTAACTGTTTTCTAATTTTTATACTATGCATTTTATACTATTGTTTTTGTGAACTGCTTGAGAACTTTGGTTATTGAGTGGTATTGAAATGAAATGAGGGGAAAATGAAATTAAAGTGTGAATATATTATTTTCCATTCTACTGCTGACCACCAGAAATGTTCCACAAATCATTAATAAAAGCTGCATACGGGACAGGTTTGAACGAAATCTTCTTGAAAAGCAAAGTAATCTAATATGCTTGAATTTAACATTAGACGTCACATGGAAATGTTCTGTACACGGTATTTAGAAAAATTCATGTGTAAAGTATGCAGAATCAAACTGAAAAAGTAACCCTTTTATCAGTTTGCTTAATTTCATCAGTAGCAAAGAAAGAAAGAGTTAATAGTGGAACCTGCAATAAATAGGCTGCATCTTAGCGGTTGAGTGACCAAGAGAAATTTATTGAAGTTTGGGGCTTATGTTCATTTTATTCTGGCTTATTTAGTGAGCTTCTGAATTTGTACCAGAGTTTAGAACTGAACAACAGTCAGACAGCTCATTAAGGAGTCTGAGTAGCAAATAAAAGAAGCAGAAATGGTGAGATGACACAGAAAAAGCTTCTTTATACAATATGTTCTACTAGGGAATAAAAGAGCTCTGAAAACTAGGTGTCTACATACTGGATACCACCCATTATATTTGCTTAAGTGGATACTTACTGGACCAAGAAAAAGCTATTTGAAATCTTTTAACGGCCCACAGTATATACAGCAATAAAGTTATACTGCAGTCCTTGTCATACCTGCCAGGAGATTGTAAAATGGATAAGTATAAAGTTGTGTTAAATCCAGTCATGATAATGGAGGAGCAATTTCTGAGGCTGCCATGGATATTTTGGGATTGGAGAGTGGACCCATATAGGAAAGGGGCTACATTCTAGAGACAGCAACCCTACTGCAACCTGGGACATGGGTTAAGGGGATTCAGGTGTGCCATGTATTAAACAACATTTTATTGCTTGAGTGCAGTTGGTAATATCTCTTGCACACAAAACTGTTGAATTAATAGAAGTAACTCATTCAAGCAAGATTTACATATTCACTTTTAGTTTGCTTTTATCTGTATGGTGTCCACCACCACCTGCAAAATATGACATCATGTCTTTTTTACTACTTCACGTCTTAATTTCAATGCCAGCAAAGTGCAGCTACAAGTGTGTTTTGCATGAATGTAGTGCATTGATAAGAACAGGTACAGTTCTGTCCTGCACGCATTTCTATGAAGGGTGAAAAATGGCATGGCCCTTGTGCCCCACTATCCCCATTCACCCGATCTCTTCCCATTTATTTCTTTTGTTTGCCTGGATGAAAAAGTCCTCAAAGAGAACTTTGGGAAAGAACTTTGGGAAAGATACTTTCAAAGGTAGCAGTGCTTGATTTTAAGTGCTTGCAGCCATACAAAATTGATTTAATATTATGATTTGAAATAGCCATATCACAAATACTACACTTATATACACACCTCTCCTCTGATGTACTTTTGCATTTCATTTGCTGTAACAGAGAATGCCCAGTGTAGCAAGAAAGACTGAAGCAACAGTGTAGAACTGCCTCTTTGCCATAGCTAGGCTCCAGAACTCTCTTGCAGTATGCTTAATGGAAGCCTTGTTGGATCAAACCAAAAGTCTATCTGTTCTACAACTTGATTTAGAACAGCGATCACCTCTTGATTGTCTATTATCCTTTGTATTTTGAGTACAGAAATGTCACACATTTTTAAATTCCATGGTACAGGGAGCCACATGGGCAGAAATGTGGTTCATCTTTTTCCCTGAACTGCTAATCGTTACTTGCTGTTGAACTTGTAAACAGTAGATAGCCAATCATATATTTGTTAGAAACATTTACTTTTCACACTGTGATTTTAGGAAAATACATGGTTACTTTCTGATAATTCCATTCAGTAGCCCTGGTCAGTCAATTATGGTGTGTGTGTGTGTGTGTGTGTGTGTGTGTGTGTGTGTGTACACACATCATTTCAATATGTACCAGGCCTATTTCACCTGGGAAAAGTAGGAATCTCTGTAAGGTTACATGCTACATAATCAATGTTGAAATATGCTTTAGTTATGAATAAATGATGGGAATGTATTGTGATTGCTTCTAGAGAAATGGCTATTGTAGATATGAAAAGATTTAAAGTTATGTTTACCCTGAAACTCAATAGAACTAATATTTTATAAGAAGAAGAATTCTAACTCTTACTAGTTCACTGGTACTTTAGATAAAGAAACTTCAAATAAGATGAAAAAATGAAAGGGATAAAACAATATAGGAGATAATTTAAGAGCAGATGGAAATAGATGCAATTGAACACCAGTGTATATTTGGGACAGTGAGAGTAGCAAAGAAACAACATCTCATTCCCTTTACAGTAGTCCCCTGAAATTCGCAGGGGTTACGTTCCTAAAGCACCCGTGAATTGTGAAAAAACGCGAATTTGGTGCCAGCGATCAGTGCTGGCCGCCAAGGTGGTGCAGGCAGGAGGTGCGGGCTGTGGGGGCGGGAGCGTGCGCGTGGCGAGGCAGGGGCAGAGGCGTGCACGCGCAGAGATAGTTTTCTCCAAGTGAGTCCAAACTCGAAGGAAATGATCTCTTTGTGAGTAAGCCACCACATGGCGAGGCGCCAGCTTA